TGTTTTGATACATGCCCTCACGGCTGTGCCATTCTGCCATGCACTAGTATCAGCTGGTATTTTCCCTGTACATCATGGTACATATAACAACTTGCACAAGGCAAGCTGTATGGCCACAGCACCGTTATTCACAGATATATTCAGTGGTCTGTGGAACATATCCTGTCAAGACGGCAATGCAAAGCAGCATACATTCTACATTTCTGTAGAGCCGCATGATATTCTGAGTAGGGGTGAAACGGTTCGGGTAAGGAACCGGTTTTGGAACCGCCAGCTGAAAAGATTCGGGTACCCGTTCCGTCAAATTTCGAACCGAAACCCGAAAAATCTCGTTCTTGTACAAATACATGTACACGTCAAGTCTACTCAAGATTTTAAATGTCTTACCTTACGATCCCCACTCTTCCAAAGAGTTCTCTGGTCATCATGGTCATTATCTTCTTCGCACTTGGACTCTGCGATGTCTCATTCTTGCTCCTAAAAATGTTTTTTCTAAAAAATAATTGTCGCGAACGCATTTTGTCGGTCTGGAGAAAAGAGTGCATGGAACCGATACCCGAACCGTGGGAAACAATGTTGGCATTCGGGTACCCGAACATGAAAAACATGGAACCGTTTCACCCCTAATTCTGAGGTGTATTTTATGTATACGGGTGCATCTACTGTACTAGCTTAGTGTATTTTATGCATACGGGTGCATCTACTGTACTAGCTTCTAGTAATACTACCACGTGCATGTCACTTACGTGTTCGCATGGTCAGTCTGGCTGTCACTTGTCAGAGATCCTGGCTGTTCAGTTGGACAAGAACCGAAACTGTGAACGCGCGAATCGTAGTCCTCCTCTGCACTGCAGTAGCACGCACACCGAAAACATTCCCCTGCACTCTGCAGCTTGTGCAACAAGTCTGAAACCTGTCCTCAATTTCCAAGTCAGCACAACTGCCTCCAGTCAAGGCTAGGCACAAGCCATGCAAACTGGACTACAAAAATTGTGTCACTGAGACCGTAAACCCGCTATGCTACGCGCTACAGAACTGAACTGCAGTACAAACCCTGTAGCCATGGTAGCCTCGACAGTTCACAAAGCCTAGAGTACAAATGGTTTTCATGTACTCTTGATACTGCTCAATAGGCTACATAATTATGGGAATTTCAAATTTGGACTTCACGGAGAATTTCAAAGTTTTTACTGAGGCCTCTAATTTCCTAAAAACTACATATGGCCTATTATGGGTGGCTAGCTATTTACTGTATGCATGCTCTTGTCAAGGACTCATGCGCATGTCACAACTACAATGACTTCTGCGAGCCGAAACCAAGAGTTTAGTCAGTCCAACTGCACTGATAGTCCATCGGCCAAGTCTCAAAATCGAAAGTGGTGATGCACTGAGCTTCCAACTAAACGCGACCATACCCAGCACGTAGAGAATATATCAGAGAACACTATTCCGTTTGTTGGACGTGCCGAATTCAGTCCAGGGCATCGATACGAAGCGTTCTTCGTCGCCGAGTTTTTTACTGTGCGCTCCATTTGAGAGTGCGCAGAGTTCTGATCGAGAGTTTTTTGAGCAGATTTTCAAATTTTTGAGGCTGTCAGCTGACAGCTGTCAACCCTAAATGGCACTTAGTATGTGACAGGCAATAGGTTTTGGTGGCTCCGTATGCCTTCTAATAAGTTCTATCTTCCTTCGTTTCACTTCGCTGCTTCGCCCACCACCTCAGGAGATGACAGCGTACCTGCACTAGTCAGCTCTCGCTAACCCTGTCTCTCTTTCTCCGTCTTAGCGCTCGTCATTCGTGTCCTTCTGCTGGGGCGAGCTTGATACTGTTGTGTCGTAGTTTTTAGGCAATAGTGGCTGTTGTTCCCGTGACGATCAGGATTTATGGAGAAAGACGACGACTCGCCAAGTTCCCATGCAGCCACAGACGGCGTAGCAATTCTTACCGCCAGCCCTTCGAGCAACGGAAGCGGCCTGAGTTGGAAATCGTGTCTGTGTAATTGTGCCACGATACGGATGAAACACACAGGCTCGCATGTGACGAGATGAAGATAATCTCAACAGGCTGACGGAAATCCAACAGGCTCACGGGAACGCTGCAGTTATGGTCGGAGACGCGGAGTTATTTAGTCACTGGTAAATGTTGCATCGAGTGCTGTGTGCTCTAACACAATTGTAAAAATCATGAAAAAGCGAAAATAATGCAATGGTGGGGCTGAGTGGTGTTCTGTGGAGGAGACGTCGCTGTCTCGGTATTCAACGCCGGACCCTGTATTTCAAGTCTGTGGTCATGCTCGATCATAAGTTCCTGTATGGCTCCAGTGCCTTCTCAGCATTGTTGGCGGGTAAGCACCTGGATCGTGTCCAAGTACTGCGGCTCTGGTGGCTTGAGGGATGTACGGGTGCTCGCCGTGCACCCCTGCCGGCAATCTGCTAGTGAAGCTTGGTACCTACTGTGTCCGGGAGATTTTCATCCAGAAGCTGATCTTCCTAGGCTGGAGCTGCTGCTACTCCTGTGCTCGCCCTCAACCACTGGCGCTCCTACTCGGCTCCAGTGTGGGCCATTAACCACCCTGCCCGATTTCGCACTGTTGCTATTCCACACCGTCAGCATTTAATTCTGAGGTCAGACCTTGATCCCTCCCACCATATGCTATCTGTCTGTCTGCCTCTCTCTCTCACACACAGATATGCACGCATACACAACAACACACATGCACACACACACACATGCACACACAGTGACACAAACATACACATAGCCAACTTCTCTGTGTTTGGTGATCATCATCTGTTTTCTGATGTGCAAGCTCACCTCTGATGCCGATTACTTCCTTGCTTAGACCCGGTCTGCTATTAGACCAGTCTGCTCTCCCTTCACTTGCTTGTAAATCCTACTTGGAGCAGTAAGGTTGTGTCACTGCTCCTACTGATGTCATTGTTGTGAAAGCAATATCATCGCCATTGGTGGTAATTTTCCACCATGCATGAATCATTGACAATCATCATCTATGTGTCACGGCCTAACCAATGACCATCCTCGTAACTCCCCTCATCGTGACTAGTGCTGTACCGTTGAAACCTACTTTGCTTCAGTGTATATTCGCTCCAAAGCTCTTGTTTTGTTGCATAGTGATCTGACGCAGTGTGCTATAGCCTATCGGGTAATATGGATAAGATTAGTACAGTCGGCATCGCCTATCGAGTGACCAGGTACATGTATAAGGATACTAGTACATGTATACCGGCTTAATGATATCGGAACACAAATAGCACTATGTGTGCAATATTCCTTTCTAAGCTCACGCTGTGCGGTGCAGATAGGTCATGTGTCGTTGCCAACTTGCCGCATGTGCATGTGCAGCAGGAAGGCACCACATGTCGACTACTACTTATACTGTACAGCATTGTGTGCTTACATGCATCTACGGCCTTGTGGATGCAATTGAGTCTCACATACATGTACATGAAATATTGCTTGTAGTGCGGCATCAGGTGTTAACATTATTATTATTATACGCATTCCCGCGTTGAAGTGTAGCAGCAGTATGCTGCGTCCACAGCTTCGCTTATGCAGAATGGCTTGGGTGAGAGGAGAGGGGAGAGAAAGCAACAAGGCAACCAACATCTATGAAATTGGTCACAATAACATGAAGAGAACCAACCTACATACATGTACGCATGATTGCACAAGAATGGAGACGACCAAATATAATGGCTATAATCATTGTGCCACAAAACCGGTACACAGGAGATCTGACGACAATGTAACGAAACATAAAACTCAGTTACTCAATACAGGTTCCACTAAATTACAAGAGAACAACGCTACAACGTTAGAATTGCCGCTAAATTATCGCAAGTGTAGAGAACGAGTCCAATACAAATGAAAACCATGAACAGACTGTCCCGAAGTTATTTTGGGAACAAATTGTACTACATGACTGTACTTGCTGATACTGACGCTGACGGAACACGAATTTGAGTTGAATACTCACGAAGTCTTGTACATGCACATCATTATGCGCCGGTGTTGTGGAGTAAGCAGGTGCGTCAGTCACCAATCCAGCTTCAGCTCCACGCTCGCTTCAGCAGAATGTTGCCCGCGTTTGCTTTGCCTCCACACGGATAGACGACCAGCGCAGAGTCCCGCAGCTCCGTGGCCGTAAGGTCTTGATATTCGCCGTTAGCGCCGTCAAGTCTCAGTCCACCTCTCACACCAAGCCGCCCTATAAAAATCTTTCTCTCTCCATTGGAGTGCTCCCCAGTTGCGCGAGGAGACTAGAGAAATTCCTCCGGTGAGCGAGGAAGAAGGTGTTAACATACAATGGCTAAATATTTTTCTCGCAATAATGACCGTATTCACCACAAGTGTGTTTATGTCCAGAGCCAACTCAAGTCCTACTTTATTTATGACCATGACAACAAGACTTCCGGGCTGAAATTCTTCTATGACAGGCATGAACACTTGCCTTAATTGTTCGTGATTGTACGAAGTACTATTATTCGCTGTTGCATCAATTTTTGCACCATTTACATTGTAGTGCCACTAGTGGTATCACCTGCATGCGTATTGAGTCAAACAAGGTTACCTCTGTATAATTATGCTTATCGTGGCTATCAAGAGCTTCGATGCAAATTCCCAGCTGACGAATGGTGTCCAGCTTGTGTTCAGCTCAGCTGGCACTCACAACTCATAATAATTGCGTTCTAGACGCCAGATGAGATGTTTCAGCTACAATGTAGACAAAACGTCCGTGTTCAAGAAAGCCGTCACTTCATCTTCTGTCCATCCTCAATAGCACGTTCCAGCAAATACGTCTGAAACACAGTAGCGACAATCCGACAGCGGCGACACGCCGTCTTCTCCGAATGAGCTTCTTCCGTTCTAATTCAGATAACTGATTCCCCCAAAAATGTCAAAATAAATAATAGATTTCCACCAATCTCGCTAGAATCTTGCGAACCGTCAACATGCATGCATTTCAAGTGTTCGAGCGTGCGTAGATTCTGCTCAGCGGCTCAAGAACATTCGCCAAGCGAAAAAAAGTCGATGAGAAAGATGTAATGGTGGACGAAATTACGAAAATCGGAAGAAGGTATTCGACCCAGTTCGACTATCCTGGACTGGATTGGCAACGTCCAACAAACGGATTCGTATTCTATGGGGTCTCCTGAGCTAGTGTGCCAAAGGGCGTTTAGTTGGAGCTTCAGTGCATCACCTTCGCCGAAAGAGGCCCTTTCTGAGATTTGGCCGATGGACTATGAGGAACGCCTTTGCTTGGGGCGGACGCGACACACAGCATTTCAGGTTCCTTAGTTTCGTTACTAATCTCAGTGTAGTTATGAATCTTGTTAGCTAGCTCTGCTCTGTGCGACGTAAACCAACCTCCTGCGTAGAACCCAGACCGTCGACTGCTTCTAATGAAGCCACACAGCCTGATAAGGGCACATCCACACAGTTGTCCTGAGTTGAGCTGAGCACCGTAGGCTGAATGAAAATATTCTCCTAGGTTTGCCACATTTTAGCGTCCTCTGTGCGAATTTCCAGAGTGGAAGTTCTACCCTTTCCTTGCCCAGCGCCAACTGACGAATGCTCCTGTGAAGTCACGGCACGAGTGTGAACGGATCGCGCGATCGTGTCCGAAGCCTACATGCGGTGACGACTGCAGGTAGATCTACAAGTGCCTTTTGTTACATTTATAGCCATTGTAGGTAAGTGAGTCGGAAACTTCGTAGCAGACGCTAAAAATAACAATCATGGCATTCGGTTTGCTAGGGTGTAGCGTATGATGTAGATCGACGATGTGCATGCCCAGACTCAATCCAAATGCCAATCAGTATCTCGCTGCTAATGCTTGCCTGCAGGATCAGAAAGTCTGGAGACTGCACGGGAGGAGAGCAGCTGGGAGTCGTAAAATACCGGAATTTTATTACTCCCTGGTGGAGAGGGTGTTACGACTCAGCAGTGCGAATGCGGTGGCAATCAAACCTGCCTTCATCACCTAACTGAAGACATTGCAGACAACCATCCTTGAGCCGAGTGTGCACTGCAACACAGTAAGAAGTATTCCTGCCACATTGCCTCCTGATCAAAATGTCGTGTCTTTATCTACTAGTGCAAGCCACTGAATTGCGGATTAGGGCTCAGGAGTCAGGTGTTATAGTACTGCACACTGCGGCATGCAGCACCACTGTGAATGACAGGTGCAAGGCTACCTAGCAGGTACCTGGCACTGTCGAGTGTCGTATTCAGCAGCAGTTCAGATTAGACTGTCCATCCACCAGACTTGTATACATGTAGTCATGTGTATTGAAACCCTGATACACTGTACCATGAGTATTGCGCCATTCATCTCAGCACACAGGTTGAAGCACAAACAGTCAGCACTGCCAACCTTCAGTGCCACAATTGTTAGCACTGCACACTTTGCTCACCATGACCAGTAGTGCCAAAGACTTTCAGTACTAACTGTTTTTTAAATGCACCGCATTTTCAGTGTAAACTATATCATGGCCTCTTACATAAAAAACTATTCAGTCACTGCACATGATCACTATTGCATTTGGGCAGCTTGAAGGCAGCATGTGGTGATAGGTGTTCTACTGGTCAGGGAGTGTCAACTGCTAGCATAGAATCAATGTCAAGAGCTTGGTAGTAGTAAGGATGGCATGCCATAACCAACCCAGAGGCCAGACGAGCATACTCAGGCTGCAAAGGAGAGAAGGAGAATATAGCGGATGCTGGTCGCGGAAGCGAATGGAACATTGCGGACCACAGCAGTACGCATTTTGAAGTGTACGTGAGTGCACCATTTTCTTACTACTTTCGATGAAGATGAATGCTGTAAGTTAAAGCCAGTTGGTTAGCGGTTGCAAAGGGTTTTAACGAATATTTTGTTTTGTACTTCAATACGAAACCGTTTTTGTATGTCCAGCACCCCACTTTGGCCTTTTTATTTCTTCTTGAGCGCAAGTTGAAAACAGGTAGATTTACACTAGAATCAATAAAGAAGATATCTCACCTGAGGCTGTCCCTTCACAAGACCGGCAAAGCAGTATGTCTTCTACAGGAAGTGTGTTTCACCAGAGTACAATGTACATTGTAACTGTACACTTCTGTATGTGCCCTTATGGAGGACAGATAGGGCCGATGAAATCTGCACATGATAACCATGTTGCCAACCAACCAACTAAGTGTACCGGCACGGCTTAGCAAGTTCCTACTAAATAATTTTCAATACATTATAGGCAATAGATCCTTGAGGATGGGGGCTTTCCTTCGGATGCAGAATAGTCTTGGTCTCACCAAGTATAACTGTGGTACAGCTGTACTGCCCAAGTATAATTCACCAGACAAGAATGTGCTTTCAGTTTGCACCCAAGTGTGGACCGGCTGTATCACATCAACTCTACCCCCCCCCCCCCCCCCCCCCACACACACACATTCTCTCCCAAAAATGTTTTGCAGTATTGATTCCGCTAGTGTTTGCATGCATCATGTAGGTAGATACATAGTACACTCTAATGATAGCTTGCATAGACCTCGGTCCTACCGGTAGGACCTACCGGTAGGACCATCATACATAGACATGCTGCATGGCCTCTGTTCTAACATTGACCTAAAACTTGACCCTAAACTGTTGCTAAGAGGCTAATGAAGGAGTCCACAAATTTTAGACGTGATCGCACAAGGCATACTACGAAATTCCATGGTAACAACCCATGGTAACCATGGAAACGGAGTATGGTATTATGCATTCCACGGCCTTGGCAAGCTGATAAAAACATTAGGACCTCACCACAATTGATGTGCCATGGTCAAAATTCACTTTGGACAGAGTTGCTAGCGCACCGACAGGATTATGTGCGGCCATTTTGACAATCGATAAAATTGCGCATACGCAATGCACTGGACATAATCTTGCATTTTGCGCCATTACTTTGCCTGACAAAGACCTCATCTCAACAATTTTTTCAAAAAATTTCTCAACCAAAAGCACTTTTGCAGCTCGATTTCTTGGGTCCTACCGGTAGGACCCGTGGTCCTACCGGTAGGACCCGTGGTCCTACCGGTAGGACGGTATGCAAGCTATCGCTAAACATGGTCAGAGGTAGTGTGTCATACAATGTAGATTGAGTTCATGTTTAGTAATTCAAATCCAAATCCAAATGTTTAGTATGTTAATTGAAATCCAAATCCTTCGACAAGGAAAATTGCTTTTGCAATTGACATTGGCAGTAGAATTGCCTTGTTGAGCAGCGTATTTATAAATCAAACACCGTGTCATTCAGGAATTGAACTTGTGATGTATTTCGTATACAGATGTGTGTATGTGCGTGTGTATAAATGTGTGTGTATTATGTTGTGATGGATAGCTATGCATGACTGTAGACGCCACTCTGCACTGTTACTACTAGTATTCTGTACTTGCATTGTAATCTAGCCATGGTGTCTTTGTCACGTAGGTCTATGCGGTTGCGCATGTAGCCAAGTTCCCGGATGTGTTGTGTAGCGGTTTGCACATGCATATGTAGCATGCTATCCCGTGTGTTGCGGCGGCTGGCACAAGAACGGCTGCAGCTGAGTTTGTTTTGTTGTTCCTTCTTCTGGTTAGTTCGAATTGTCATTGCTTGTGTCCATTTTGCTCATCTCTCCTTTTCCAATACCATGTATAAACTGTGCTACTGAGAGTTGTTGTCGGGTGAGAGTAGCCGTGCGTCGGGGGACGAGGGTTCCACAACAATGTGTGTGTATGTGGACGTGTGTATGTGTGTGTGTGTGTGTGTGTGTGTGTGTGTGTGTGTGTGTGTGTGTGTGTGTGTGTGTGTGTGTGTGTGTATGTATGTATGTGTGTGTATGTATGTGTATGTACCTGTGTGTATTTTGTCTTCCCTGATGTATAGGGAGTACTGTGACCATCACACCAGTCAAGTGTCTGCAGGAACACTAGCACTGCCGGTGATATGCCGGTGGATTTCTGGTATTATGTTGCCAAGCCGGTTTGGTTGGATTTGTGCCGGGATGTTAGACTGCCACACTGGGCAGTAAGAGATCTGCTGGCAAGTGTTGATAATCTTCCTCCAGCCCTCACCGTTAATAGACAGGATTCTACAGGCGGTTGGGCTTGCGCATATATATTACCCTGGTTACTGTCAAGTGGCAACAAAAGTGCTGCAAAGTTTCTTGATACCTTATCCCGATGTGGAACAGAATATAATCAAATTTCATCAATGTTATCCAGTGTCTGGAAGGCCATAGTGGCGGAGGAACAAGAAACCGCACCTTGTGGTAAGGCTCTTCGACAGTTGTTTTCCTTATCTCATCATTTGCAGAATTACAAATTTCAACTGGGTAGACTTACATGTACACTGTGAGATCTATGACCAACAAAATGCCGGGATTCTTTTTCCTTCTCTTTTTGCTTCACCCGGTGGACAATCCGATAGGTATGTAGATCAGGGTACTTGCAGTTGAGAGACTCTTGCAGTCTTGTGACTAGTGGCTGCGGCACACTAAGCATTTTTCCATCACTGTGGCGCAACGACTGATAATTGCATAGTTAGGCTGAGTGCACACAGTAGGACCATGGCAGTTGAATTGTACATCCAATTTTGGTATTGCAAGATCCTAGGCTGTTCTTGGAAACCTGTACTCATAGCCTGCATGAAGTATCATATCTGGACACTGATCATCTGTCTTAGAGTACTGCTCCCGGTCAATTAAGTGCAGGTAAGGATTGCAATGATGAGAGTGAGCAATGCTGTGTGTTTGTAACATTCCTGTGCAGAGTTCTTTCTTGAAGCAATCAAGAACAATGTGGACATCATTCGCCATTCTCTGTCTAAGGCTTCCCCGTTCATATTGATGGCTGAGATATCACTACTCCAAAGACACAGTGGAATTAGTGCCGGTGCAATGGCTACAATAACAACAGCACTGGCGGAGTGTAAAACGGATGATTGCTTTCCAGCAAGATCAGCAATAAAGGCAATGGTAGACGATGTGTTATCTAGTGGCCATGCACAGTGTGCACTGTTCGTGAATCTGCTTTTTTGGAGTTCAGCACTAAAAGACTTCATTCCGGACCATGTCAATGATACTGTGTTTGCCGATATTGGAACACACTCTATACGTGACCTCTACATTGCGGTGTGTGTCAATTCTCAACTTCCAACAGGTTAGTACCAGTGTTGGTACCCATGTACAAAACCGAGTTAGAGCTTCAGTGCTAAGGCTGTTGTTCTCCTCTTGGGATGAAACAAATATACCGGAAGTTTGGTGAAATCGCCGTTACTGGTGGGATTATAGTCACTGTAACCTGTTTGCGGCGTATTAATGTTTGCTAATTTTCCGACAAGAGCATAATGAGAAATATTAACCAATGTGAAATCAAACTTCAACAGTGGGTGTGTATGCATGGCCACAGTGCCCCGCAAACTTTTTCCATTGCAAACTCGCTGGTTCTGAGAGATCGCGAAAATGTAGTGACTCGAATACCGGGTGATTTACAGTAGTCTAACAAACGGTTATGTGCAGCTATAGAATGGTGCCGTGAGTAGTACATTGTCGCCATCCTGACTGAGTTTGTGGGTGATGGGTTGAAAACTTCGGTTGTTCAGTCGTTCAAAACCTGCAGTTACATCATTGACTTCGCAGATGGAACATGTACGGTGCACTGTGTTCACAAAATGTCACACATCCATGATTCCCTCAAAGCAACTAGGCTTGCCGAGAATTTGTCCATCAAAATCTCCATGGTGTGTAGTACATGTATTACCTAGCCTCGGGGTAGAACATCTGGGCATGCACTGATGATATCATAACGGTGCAGATTTTCATTGATTTCAAGCTAAACGGATCCAGTAATCAAATTCAGAGGTTGAATTAATGCACTCCTACTTAGCTCACACGTATGAGCTATTAGTTACTATGGCTGGCAGTAAGAGTCCATAGCCCGGGAGTACACACGTCTGATTTGGGTTGTGTCGCAATGAAAAACAGTGCATCACCCAAGAACTGACAGGTACTAAGATGTCGATTTACGACTTTGCAGGCCGATACCTGTGATTTCCTTGTGCGCAAAGCAATTTGGATTTCACTGCACCAAACCCAAATGCAGAAAGGGGTGTACATCTGAACGCTCTGTTGGTTATTGACTAGTAAAAGTATTAATATCAGCAAGAGACAGTTATTGAGTATATAACCCCCCAAGAGTGTGCAACTCTCTCCGACGGCGAAAACTCACATCACGTGTCTCGGGTACTTTTCGTACTACGCACAAACGTATGACAGCGTGCGTGCAACCCGAATATCTGCCATGATCATGATAATCATGCTGGAGATTTGCATACGGGCAGTGAGTTTCTGTGAGAGAGTGATTTTTTAATACTCCGCTGCTCGGTAAAAACGGGCTTGAAACGTACAAGTGGGACACTGCACCACGTGATGTGAGTTTTCGCTGTCGGCGAACCCCATAGAAAGGGTATCAGGAGTTGCATACAATCAGATCATGCGATAACAATGCACAACACTGACCGACGGTACTGATGTTCTTCAACTAACCGGCTGTTGGAGTGCGCATCCGAGATGTGCTAGAGCTGATAGCCAGTTAGTTGTAGAACTTCAGTACCGTCGTGGTATTAGCTCAGCAGATAAAGTGCAGGAAGTGGGCACGAAGGTGTATACAGCAATCATCGTGTGTACAACCCTGTAGAGACACAGCAACATTCAGCAGTTCCACTGTGAGGGTGCTAGCACCTTTAATGGCCAATTGAAGGAGATGTTGATCTCTGGACGACGCTCCCGAATCTCGATGGACTCCCTTATCTTTCTTCTGGCCATTCATGTCTCCACAGCCAGTATCTGGGCCTTAATGAAAATTACATCCGTGCTCTTGATGGTTCCGTGCTGCTGGTGATCAGTAGCCATGTGTTTACTCCACGGTTTGTCGAGCATCCTGTGATGTGCCTCGTAGTGGTGTTCCTCGGAACGGTCTCTTGTGGCCCGTACACACTTCCCGTGCTTTATCTGCTGAGCTTTTGCGTACCCACTCTTTCAGTGCACTTCTCCTTGTCTATTGTACATGCGAATTCATGCACTAATTTTCATACGGCTATTGTGTGTTTCGTTTGTTTTTGTACATGGACATACATACGCTCTCGCTTGCTTTCGCAGTAAAAGGCCAGGTTCGCCCCCTTTTTAATTGTTCTGACGTTAGGTGACTGGCCCGAAATCTCAAAATTTTTCGACATCACAAACAAAAAAGAATTTTTCATCCAGTGCATGCGCCGAGTGTGAATAACAGTTAGCAACTGAATAGAGCGGTTGTCAGTTGACAAATCCCCATTTCTTTATAATGCAGTTGTGTGATATCCACCACTTTTTTAGATAACGCTTCAGTAGCTCGCTGTTTAGGACTCTCTGGGAATGGATTAAGAGCGCGTACAAGGCAGAACGAACCAGGCAACAGTTGTTTCTCCTGGATTGTCGTCGTGTCACTCTTGTCCCTAAATTCATTGTCAATGCTGTGCGGACTGGCAAGATTGTGTCCAGCCATAAAGCCACAGTGAAGAGGGAAACTTCAAAGGTATCTAAAACGTGTTCTCAGTGATGTGAAAAGGGAACTGACCTCCACGCATCCATTGTCGGATATTGTGTTTATGTATATTCCAATGTAATTGCAGGTATTGTGACTGGACAGAAGAATGCAACAAGTTCAAAGAAACAAACGGCAAAAAGTGGAATTGCTGGTGAGCTCCCTTTTTCCAGTGTTGATTGCAATCACTCATTCTGTGTCCTCACTGTGAACACAATACTTCTTCACCTTTCGGCATTTACCCAAACCAATGCACATAATCTGATGCCCATTGACTTTACGTCTTTAGTTAGGAAATGTGAGGAGCTGGCCTCCATCATACAGGTCCCGCAGCAATGATGTTATACTGAAATTTGGCCACGTTTCTAATCCTCGTATGTGCAGTAAAACCTGTGTTTGTCAGACCCTGTACCAAGTGGAATCCTGTATTGACCGGAAAATTGTCATGCACCAAAGTGCTGTGGATCGAACGTGCATCCCTCGATCAAGCGGAATACTGTTATTTCAGGACAATTTCTGCAGCACCAAGGACTTCCGGTTAGGGCAGGTTTTGCTGTACATCCGAATTTAATTTTAGCATCTTGTATGCTGTTGCTCCTGCTGTTACATCTACATCTATGTCAATAACTATAATTATGGTGATTAAGAAGTAACTCGGGTACTGAGCCAAGAGTAAGATAATTATTTCAGAGCACAGTGCTGCTCAATGAAATCCAATCTTGAGTCAAGTGTGCACCCTGCACCTGCACCTGCACCTGACCTACACCTGTTCACACACCAGTGTTTGCAGGTCTATAATACTAGGGCTGCGCAGCGTCCAGTGTGGCATCGACTCGCTTGATCGGATGTCTTTGAACAGCACTATATCAGACACCAGGGATGCACTCATTATGCGCAAAGTGCTCAAATACCGTAGGGGCAGAGCTTAGTACAAAAGCAGTGGACCACAGCTCTAGCATAACTACTCTGAGGTTTGTGCACATAGTGAAATCATCAGGCAAACTTCTGAGAATTAGAAATGTGGGTGTATCTTTCTTGCTGATCAGGTTTCCACCTTATTCCTTTTTTTAACTGTTGGCCTAGGCTGGAACGCAGAGGATGAGCAGGCTTATCAACTAGCTCTCTCAGAAGGACAGCAGATAATCCCGCATGCGAGGCTTCTTCTATGCGGTCCGGGCCGCTCAGGCAAAAGCAGCGTGGAGCGATCACTTGTGGATGAGCCATTTGAAAAGAGAAGTGACAGCACCATTGGTGTGGAGCTACAAACAGCTGTCTGTACCATTGGACAGAGAGATGGCAAATTTGTTTGGCGCAAGGAAGCTGATCAAAAAATGCAACATCTGCTAATGGTGCTCATATCACTCAACAAAGCAGTACAACGAAAGGCAATTGAGGGTTGCCTAGCCCAGCAACATGCAGTCAATGAAGAAACTGTCTTCCCAGTGATGGAAAGCATGGCAGCGGAGGACAATCTGGAGCAAAGAAGGGTCCAACCGACCACACCAAGTAGCAGTACAACAGGTGTTCGTTCGCCTGAGGATAGTGGGCACACAGCAGTCGAAACTAATGACACAACACATGACGTAACTGACGGTGGTAATGAGCGGAATTCCCATTCTCGAAGTGTAGACCAAATGCCGTTTGCTTCAACTACCACATTTCCTTATGATGCTGATGTGATTGCTGATACATCACCCGACACTGCAGCCAATGCAACTACAGAAACAACTGCCACCGTTGGAAGCAATAGCTCTGTCAATGATGCTGCTATTGATGTACCTTCCACCATTCAAGCCACAGCTTCAGAAGGAAAGCTACTAATGCCAGAGGAAAGGGCACTTGCAACACATGAAGCAGAGAGCAGCTGTGTAACACCCGACTCACCATGTTCACATGATCCAAAGAGCCTTGAAGAGGAGCTGTCATACGCAGCAATGCGGGTTGATCAGTTCATTGCTGATCTCAAGTACACCGATGTGAGTGAGTACAACATCAAGGACTTGGATAAACTTGTGTTCTTGGACATATGGGACTTTGCAGGACAGCGGTTATTTTCAGCACTTCAGCATATGGTTCTGTCGTCAAGGCGCTGTGCATATGCAGTCGTCTTCGATGCCTCCAAGCCAATGGAGAAGGTAGCCGAACCAACACTTTGCAGAGATGGTGAAGAGTACCGGCTAGACAACAGTCAAGGCTCCACCAACTTTGACATCATGGAAAGCTGGTTGAACACAATCCATCATGTTATCGGTGATGACCCAGACGTACCAGTTTACGCTATTGGCACGCACATCGACAAGCTTCCGCGCAAAACTCGCCAACAATCGCTTGACAAGATGAAGAAATACATCTGCACGAATGCTGAGGAAAGAGCGTATGGTTTCAATCTGGATGACGTAGTGTTTGTTGACAACACTGTTGCTGGCAGCAGGGATCCAGATGAAACCATCATTCGGCTTCGACAGGATTTCATTGAGAAATTGGAACCGCAGTTCAAACAGCCCATCCCCATTCGCTGGCTGCCATTCACCATTGGTACAAAGGAAGTAGCAAAGAAATTCAAATGCCCATGGCTAACAATTGAGCAAATCTACCGTCTTGCTAGCACAGTGTGTGGTGGTGATGCTGGGAACAATCGCTCTCAGTCTGTTGATGTGGAGGCCATGTTGAAGTACCAACATCACCTTGGCCACATTCTCTACTACCCAGAGAACCGAATCCTGTCATCCAAAGTCATCATTGATGTTGAATGGCTGCTGAGAATCGCATCACTACTCTTTTGTCCCGAGCCGAAGATTGAGCAGGGCAAACGTCTTCGCAAGCTCTACGATCTGCTGACAAGCAAGGGAATCTTGCTGGAGCGTCTGATTACTCACCGCTGGGAACAACACAGCAAACAAACTGCAATGTACACCAAAACAGAAGAGCAACGTGACTATCTGTACGAACTGATGGAGCAATCTGGTCTCATGTACAACACAAAGACCAGTATGAAGATTCCCGACCGTGAGGAAGAGTCTCGCAAGTTCTACGTCCCAGCCCTTGTAAGCCGGATGCCTGAAGACAATGCCGCTCTGCTATTGGATGACTCAACACCAACCATATACTTGTACACGGGAAATCGCAAATACCTTCCACAGACACTGTTCTGGTGTGCCGTGGTAAGGTGTCTGCAGAAGTATCGCCCACGCCATGAGCCACTTCTCTACCAGTCCGCAGCTCGGCTGAGGTGTTACAGCATCTACTGGCTGGTACTGGAGTACTTCAGTCATGGCATTCGCATCTCTGTTGCAGCTGAGGAATCCGCACAGTCAAACATCGGAAGTTCTTACTCCACAGCACGTCCCGCTGACCTTCCCGCAATGTGTTCAGAAGCCCTGATGTTTGTAGAGGAGCAGCTGGAGGATCTGAAAAAGTTCAGCCTTCGACACGTCAACATCAGCCGAGCAGTTCGATGCGTGTGTCTTGTGAATCAACGCCCTTGTCAACGTCATAAGAAGAAGTCCTGTCCACGGACATCATGCCATCACTTTGCAGAGCTGGTGGACGGAGAAGTTCCACAATGTCCGCTGGAGTCACAGCCCAATGTAGATGCCGGTCCAGTTTTGCAGTACTTCAAGTGCATTCCGTTCCAATATGTGGTATGTAGTATTTTAGTATGAATTTGTCTTGATAACACCCCTTAAGTTTGATTTCCCATGCTTTAGTCTACACCGCAGTATTGGTATGGAATATCGCAGCGGTACAGTTAGCCTAATCATGCAGGCAGTAAACCGATCTATTTCCTCGCGAGCTGTTGCACTCACACTGTTGGCCCATACTACGGTGATACGTCGCTGAACACATGCACACACGTTTGCCTCCCACGGAAACTGAATATCCAGGAAACGGACAACTGAAAGCATTCTACATTGCAGACCATGGATTACAGTGGGATCCAATGAACTTCTCCTTGGTTGGCATGGAAACCAGATGAAAGAAGACAAGCAAGATCTGCCTGTAAAAAGTAGATTCCACGTGTAAAGCCAACGGCTGCAACACCAATCAGCCTTCATTTCCTAGCTCACTAGCACTCTGTTGTCAAGATAAGGCAGGGACATGAATAGCTCACTTCCCATTTTCCATGCATGCTGCACCACAGTTATGACCTTTTCACAAAACCATTGGAACCGCCGACCCATGCTTTATCCAATATTCATTTCAGCACAAACGTTTAGTTATACCGGTGGCAGTGTGGATTTTTCCCATGGCTGTGTTATGTCATGTCTTTGTGTGTTTGCCCTTGTTTACAGCAAGCTGGTCAGCCGGACAACTCCGTCTCTGCAGCGCTTATGACTATGTCTGGCTTACAACTTGCATCTACAACAGGTATGACAATATTGACAGGACTACACTACACCATAAACAACAAACTGTATGCTGACTTCCAATTTTGGAGCAGTTCTCTGTCTCCAAATCAAGACCAAGCGGTTGTGGACGCAGCAGTTATTTTCACAACAAGCTATACATAATTTCTCATTACTCAAAAGGATAAATGGTGCAATTGTAGACCAATGCACGGTGTTCTCTGCGTGTTTTGTCCCAGTGTGACGTGAAGTTGTTAACATCAGTGTGGCTGGCCCCAGCTGCGGGTGTTTGATAGCTGCTACCACTCCATACGATTATGAGTGAATGTCAATTGCAGGGCCAATTAGTGAGAGTGAGTCAGAGTGGACGAGTTTCACAAAAATCTTTTGCTTGCTCCTACCCAAAGTCATTCGGGGAACTTGTGGCCAAGCAAAAGTGGAACATGGATGTTGTTATTGTGGCTTTCTGGCTTTCACTTTCAGCACTTATGCAAGTTGCTGTAAGACGTAGTTACTAGTGTAGCGCAAATGTGCGTCAATTTTGGGGTATGTCTAGAAATGTTGGCATTTTCTGGAGAGGTTTGCATTTTTGCTATTTTCTGCCAGCAAAATACTGAACTTAGTAGTGTTATCAAGAAACATTGCCTGTTCCATTGTCCAGCTGTCAGTCAGCTAATTCCCAGTACACAGCACACTACTCTATACAACACTATATGCAGTGTAATGGGAATTCTAACACCATTGAAACAGGGTAACAGTTAGCCTGTAAACTCGATTTCCAAGAATCTTGAAATGTACCAAATCTACCAGTGCTAGTACATTCATGTGTAGGCTAGCAAGTTCAAAAACAATTGAAGAGCGAATTTATCTTGAAGTGAAAATCGCATTGCCAGTGCCTATGTCTCTGCTTTTCGAGTGTGCCTTCCGGTTCCTCCATGTGACAAAGGTGTGTTGATGTTTGTGGTTGATTACGTGATGATTGGCCTGTGTTGTCATATTCTCCTCGGTGCATGCAGGCATGGCTACTGGTAGCGGTGGTGCGTGTGGCACCGACACAGACAGCAAGTCACTCGGCGCTATAGGGTCAGTACATGCAGTATTGATACACTGTGCACATGTACTTCAGGGCAATCTGCCTGTCCACGATCACTATCAGTCTTGTTTTACTCAAATTCATCACATCGTTATTACACACATTACATCGCTATTACACACATCACATCGCTATTTCAATAGGGTTTTGTTCTGTACTTGTGAACTGTTAGCATTAGAGAAGTTCAGACTCAGAACGAGACGGATACTAGTAACTTGTAACCTTTGGTCCTTTTCTTTTTCATTTTAAAAGAAGTTCAATTGTTATGGGTGATGAAGTGAAAAAGCACCCCTCCTCTCGTGTGCAAGCACAGGCAAACACACGCACGCACACACACATACACACACATCCACACACACATGAACACACACAGGAACACACACATGCACACACATATTTAACAATGTAGAAGCACCCAACACTGCATGATATATCCCCATCCAACTATTAGATGAGAGAAGATTGCCCTGGGATGTTTGTACAAGTAAATATAATTTCAACATAATCTTCGGTGTTTTTCTCTTCCCCTCCATTCTACCACCTCTCCCTGATGTTGTGTAAACTTTATGTGTTGCTTCATCCCTCTATGGTCAATCTCTGCAGCTGCAAGCATCTCAGAAACATTGATGATTGGGAGGACTTCACAGCTGCTCTTGAACCATTGCTGGATGACAATGCAAGAGGTTTGTTCATCCTTGTTTGTGATTAACCTTTACCAAGTGGGCACAGAGTGTAACGGAATCACAGCCATTCCGTTCCCCGGGACGCAGGACACAAAGGACAAGACTGGTTTGTATTACATTATTTATATTGACATTACGGAAATCGAGACAACACTCAAAATGACGAACAAGAAGACTGACAAAAGGACTCTCGACTAGACGAGACAGTGTGGGGAATGCCATCACACAGGAAAACAACACATCATTTTACAACACCTGCCCCCTTGATGACATTCCACAAAATAATAAACCGACACCACGTTCCACATGCACAACAGCAAAAGGAACCACAGCAAAACAGAAAAACCAACCAACAGCTTACATTGTAGCACAACAAAACTGGGCCACGACACAGCGCCAAACCAAGACACAAGAGCCGACGCTCTAAACTCAAGCACACAAGGCCAACCGAAACATGAGAGCCAAAGCTCCAACAAATAACAACATGCGCGCAGCAGCGCAAAATAAATCTACAACGCAAATTAATGCAGAACAACAGAACGACGAGAAGAGCAACATACAACCAAACTCAACAACACAGCAAAGAACTGAACAGCGAGAGAAACATGATCAGACAACACAGCGAGCAAGACAACAACAAGACGAACAACAAAGGACGACACACAGTCGGTGATGCCAGACTCATCCACTGGCCTCTGGCGAGCCACGGCCACACGCTCCATGCGGTACCTGCCGTCCCAGGCTCCAGTCCCCAGCTTCTGCCGGTCCACCACCTTCTCTGCCTCCTCTCCGCGTCTTCTTCCGCTTCCACCAGCTCCTCATCTCTCCTGATCACCTCCATCCCCACGCTTACTCTCTAGTTGTACTATTAGTTGTTGACGACGACAAACAGACTCATGACAAACTTACTCATCCTCTGCGTCCCGGGTTTCGGCACCACGTAACGGAATCACAGCCATTCCGTTCCCCGGGACGCAGGACACAAAGGACAAGACTGGTTTGTATTACATTATTTATATTGACATTACGGAAATCGAGACAACACTCAAAAGGACGAACAAGAAGACTGACAAAAGGACTCTCGACTACAAAATCGCGCATGCTCATATCACACATGCACGCGACTAGACGAGACAGTTTGGGGAATGCCATCACACAGGAAAACAACACATCATTTTACAACAAGAGAGACTGACTTCGAATGGAGCAAATCAGCATCAAGGCTTGTAAGAAGCACGAGAAGTATTTCCAATCTGCTGCAATGAGCAGTAAACATCAAGGGTCAATGCTTCTATTGTAAGGAGGCTACTTCAAAATATAACTTATGGACTTGCCACTCAACTCTACTCCTGTCTCTTGTGTTATGAAAGAGTTTACGGGGCAGAGGTCGAACACCACTATCACCAATTGCAACCTAGATATTTTGTTAATTCTGCGGTAATCTGTAGCTGAAGCAGAGGACTGAGTCTGTGGAGCATTGGTGGCCGATCAAGTACATGTATTTTATCGTTGATTGCTGCAGGAAAGCTGGGCAAGGCAGCAGTCAAACTGGTGGACAAGAATCTGAAGAACAACTATCGAAATGTTTTGCGCGTGTTCCATGGGAAACACCAAGAAACGATCACTGGCAGTGGACATGGAGTCACTAGCGTATTCTGTATCATCCTCTATCTGATTGTGGAGAGACAAGGGCTGACCATTGATGAGTTGTGTACACAGTTAGAGGACAGTGCTCCGGAGAATCGTAACCTGATCCGCACAGCTCTCCTGTAAGTATACGCCATCTACAGTGTGTAGAGCTTTAAAACTTCATGTTGTGCAGTACACGTGTGTTATGAAAGTTTAAAAACTTTATGTTGTGCAGTACACGTGCGTTATGAAAGTTCAGCTTGCTTATTACTTACGCACATTGTTGTATGCGGTTCTCGTCTGGTTTGATCCGATGCCTGATATCTAACATGGTCCAGTGTACGCGTGAGCATGGTGTGATGTATGACATACAGTGTATATGGTATGTAGTGCATGCAAGAGTACACATTGTCAGAGGGTGAGAATCTCTGCTTCCGTTGGTGTGTGAGTGGTTGTCAACTGAGTGTCGCACATGCGTTGATTACATGGATTGCGATTGTTCTGGTAGACCTCTACCCACATGTACAGAACAGTCTGTGAGTGAAAAGCCCGATTTATTTCAGAAATTTCACGCCCAAAGTGGTCACAGGCTTAATGTGGTATAGATGCTGCTGGCCTAACAGTTTTTAGAAACCGGATGTCTATACTTTCCAAACGTAACTGTAGTACTCAATTCATGGTTGAAGGGACTGTGCAGTGAGCAACACTGTATGATGCGCATACAGATGAAGCCTGGACCAACACTGCAGGTGGTCTTTAATGCAAACCAGGCCGTTCATCCTTGCACGTTTGACTAAGATTTGGTGTCTAAGAATAATAGTGGTGTAACAGGTCAGGAGGCTGCTGAAACCCACGGATGGTCACTTGACCAGGTTTCATCAGAATGAATGAAGAAACTGAGACACCCGTCGGTAACAGCCTTCGCACTCGTAACGAACGTAAACAAAACTGTGAACTGCAAATGTACACCACCCTCAGCCCTGTAGCACAAACTGGATAACTACAATGTACTTCACAGTGGGGGGGGGGGGGGGGGGAGAAGGACTGTATTTATTCAGATTTTCCAGCTGCTCCTTTAAAAACAGCAGCGCCTCTGTGCACATCCCAGGAAGAGCGTTTGTATCCATCAGATTGGGGATGAAGACGATTGCTTTAAAATTGATTTGGATTTGTGTGCTTCTTTATACGACTTTTGTTTTGTTGCAGTGAGGCAGAATACACGGAATAGCTGTGTTGACAGGTAGAAGGCAGTGGACACAAGCACCAGGATGCTGGTTATCGAGATGTCAGCTCCGTGTGGTTTTGCCGGATTCGAGCCGGTTCTTTGTACGCTAGCTTTGTTGCATGTTCTGTGCTGCACATTGCTCGCCAGGCACAGTGGAATGATAGTGTACATAGTTTTGAACTCATCGGCACGGTGCACTCGTGTGAGTACTTGAGTGTTTTTAACCAATATTTTACTTGTCTCCTTCTATGCATGTAGGCATGTTGAAGTTGGTAGTTGAAGTTCGAAGAATTCCGAGCTTGCTGTTGCATTTCCCCTGCAACCGAATCCAAGCTATTCGCTAGGCTATATAAGTATTACCCTTGAGTCACGGGTTGATTTCCAGTGTCATATGCTGCCCTGTTTTCTCTCTGTGGTCGCATATTCATTTTCCGTGGCACGGCTTGATCCCCCGAACCGGGTCAAATCTTTTATTCATGTACATGTAAGTACTTGACAAACATTCTACATAGTTATACATGTACTCATGCTGTACTTGTATATGTGTGTGTAGTGTGATGCCTCATGCCAGGCAGCTGTGTGAGCCCTCAGCGGGGCGAGTTCTTGGCCTCGTTGGTCGTTTGTTTGCCCTCACTTGGCAGTAGGCGACCGGCCACAGTGGGTAATATGCTTCAGCCTTTGGCTGGCAGGTTGTTGTCCTTGGTGGCTGTTAATTGGCTGAACAGGCAGTATGATTCAGCCCTCGGTGGGCTGTACACTTTATCCCTTGCGGGGAAGTTTGCTTCAGCCCTCGGTGGGAAGGTTGCTGGCCTCGGCGGCCGTTCATACGTCCTCGTCGGGCAGGTTGCTGGCCGCGTTGGACATTTGTGCGCCCTTAGTGGGCAGTGAGAGTATGCTAGCGGCCCACGGCTGACACTATCATTCAGCCCACAATGGGCTGGATGTTGGCCTCTGTGGCCGCTCATGTGATTGGCCCAAGGTGGGCAGCTGCGGGCTAGGTCTCGGTGGGCAATTTGTGCGTCTGCCCTGGTGGGCAGTGTGAATCGCTGACAATTGGATGTGGTGATATCATGGCGCAACTATTTTCTCTTGCGTCGTTGTAACCAGTCTATCATCACATACTATTTATAGATTACTAACTGCGTTGAGCATATTCCTCAAGCTACGCAAAATACGTTACTTTAGTAGTGTCTGGTGCTAGCCAGGCTCCACAGCACTTGAATGCGTATGTGTGTTCCATAGGGCCGGCACAAACCATGTGATGTGCCTGGCACTGTCACGTACATGTCTCGTACCGTACCGTAAAAGACAGCTGGCCACATATTGAAATGGGGCTCTCAACAGCAGGATCGTAACGTACGCAACGCAAAATAGTGTACGAAGGGAGTGCATGCAGGGCGATAGTGCGGGTTCGAATGCCATGTTATGTGTGGAAAAAAGAAAAGAAACAAAATTAGGACCATAACGTGAAATGACCACTTGGTACAATGTGCATGTCCGGGCCTGCCTGGGATTGTTGTTGTTGTTGATTTTTATTTTGCTTCGCAAGGCCAAACGGGCAATGGTGCCCAATTCTATGGAAGCGAATTTCAAAAGGGAGAGAGCTACGGGGAGAGAGAGAGAGAGAGAGAGAGAGAGAGAGAGAGAGAGAGAGAGATTAAGAGTCTTTTTTTTTGTTTTCAAGTGCCCACAGGCTCCAATCCAATCTAGCACCATAACGTGAAACGAGAGAGCTTGAAAGTTGAAAGTTCAGTGCCGTCGCTATCCTGTTTTGGCCTAGATTAACGTTATCATGCGCGTTATTAAAACTGATAGAAACGTCTTTGCAATACGATTATGGGGTACATCTTTTTATATTGCAAAGACGTATCTATCAGTTTGAATAACACACATGGTAATCTAGGCAAAACAGGATAGCGACGGCACTGAGCTTTCAAGCTCTCTCGCTCAAAGAGAAGTCATGGCAACCCCAACCTCAAAATGTCAATTGCTTGTGCATGCGTCCGTATGGGTACGTTGTTGTACATGCAGGTGTATGCGTGGCAGCATTAGTATTCATGTTTGTGCGCATGAATACGTGAGTGCGCATGCACGTGTGTGTACCCGTGGGCCTGGAGTAAACGTTGTTTAAGTACATAAGACAATGATTCTGATACTTGTTTCAAAGGCAGGACATTTGGTACTTTGAGTGCATACCAGACTACTAGCACCAGTGTATGTATCACTTACTTCAGAACAACATTGGTAGGACCAGCTGGCTTCTTTGTGATGTTGCTGTGACGGCATGACTTGAGTCTCCATTTCACATCTCTCCGTCATCACCCGGATTCTTCCCCAAGCATGGTTCTTTTGCTTCCACGAATGATTCTAAAATAGCAGACGTCGAAAGTAAGCAGCTATTAAGCACATTATTAGAGGCTAAGCTGCGCATGTAATTCTTGACGTGACTCACAATTTCACATCAAATGGATCATCGTTTGGTGCGAAACGCCAAATTTCGACGTGAGAGGCAGCTCTCGCGCATTTTCCAACGTGCGAGCCAAATACGCGGTCGGAATTTTCGTGTCGCATCAAAAATAACGTGCAGCTTATCCTGCTTATTAAGTATTATAATTAAATAGATCATCAGCGTTGAACGCCAAATTTCAAAGTGAGAGGTCGCTCTCTCACATGTTTCCAACGTGCAAGCCAAATAACGCGAGCGGAACTTTCCGTCACGTCAAAAATAACGTGCAGCTTAACCTCTCTATTAAAACTACATGCACTGTAACATTGTAGTACACACTACTTGTATGCAGACAGGTGTGAAACAGGCTCAGAATACAGTGCTGATTGGCTGGCATAGCAGGAATGTTAATTTGCTAAAGCAGTTTGCGTGCATGTAGCGGCCACAAGCAAGACCGAGACGTAACTTACAAAGTTTGGGGATAGTTTTGAAAAGTGTGTACGGTATATACGAGTATGTACTCGCATGCATGTATTATGTGTGTGTGTATGCGAGGGGGGGACTGTTGACTGTACAGTAGTGGCTACTGGAAAAGACACTTTGGGACAATGGTATGTAGACAATTGCCGCACCACTGTACTGCGCTGTACGCGTTCACAACCTGGGTCGCTGAGCCAAAGTAAGTTAGTTCTCTTTTCAGATTTTGTTGTCGGCTAGGGCCACTGCACAGGAGTGCCCAGATGCACTGGTTGTACTACGTGTCACATTCGTGTTGTCATGAGAACAGTCAAGAACAAACCAGGGTGCATGTGTGTGGGCTGTATTTGTTGATACTGCATGCCCCTATCAGGGCTTGTGTTCAGAGTGATTACTTGGTGCAGAAACTCCTAATGGCATCGACATTTCCAGATCAGAGCAAAGCCGTGAACTGGACGGTTAAGAGTATGTCACCACATCCATACCATGACCCCTTTTGGAGCTTCTCCTTTCATAGGTGTGTTTGAATCGAATGTCCTAGCAGCAAGTCAGCAGATTTGCTTATGTGCACTGAGTATAGTGGAATCACCAATTATTATTATTGTTATGGGCGTGAAGCATGGCGTGGCAAAAAGAGGGAAAGGGCATTACATTACTACTGCATTGCTGCCCTCAGACCACAGCTTAGCTGCTCCCACATACAGACCATCTGAACTGATGATGATGATGTGATCACATACTAGCCTCCCTGTGTTGCTGAACTCAGTGAAGTTTGAAGTGAAATACGGTAGTGTGCCGATTATCCGCACCCCTTGGGGCACAGGCTGTCTCCAGGAAGTTCGGATGAGAAGAATAGTCGGATATGGGAGCAGTCAAACATCTGTCTAAACATGCATATTCCCGCATGTTTTCATCATTTTTCATTCTCTTCGGCAGCACAACAGGAACTAGGCGCACGTCAGCTCTTCAAAATGACACTATCGTTATACATTTCGACTCCAACCTGTCTCAATACATCTTGTGCATCGCTTGAATGGTGCCCCGAGTGGGGAAAATCAGCAAAAACCTTGAAGAACCTGCTAATGATTATTTGTCCAGCCCTACCAGGCAATGCGGATAATCATCATCCGGATAGTTGACATCCGGATAACCGGCGTTCTACTGCACTTGAACGCGATCAGTCGTGGGCAATACCTGTTCTGATACATGCCCTCACGGCTGTGCCATTCTGCCATGCACTAGTATCAGCTGGTATTTCCCCTGTACATCATGGTACATATAACAACTTGCACTGGGCAGGCTGTATGGCCACAGCACCGTCATTCACAGATATATTCAGTGGTCTGTGGAACATATCCTGCCAAGACGGCAATGTGAAGCAGCATGCATTCTACATTTGTGTATAGAGCCGCATGATATTAGGTGTATTTTTGTACAGGTGCATCTACTGTACTAGCTGCTAGTAATAATAGGGCTTGAAAGTGCTACATCACAGCTTAGCAACAATTTCAAAAATTCAAAAACTGGATCCACTTGGATCCAGTTTTTGTATGGATCCAAGCACACGTCAAGCCGTCTTACTCACAGCAGGGTGATGTAGCCAGTGAAACTGACTGATTTGGCTATTGGGGGCGGGGTTACAACTGGTGGCGAAGTAAAAGTCACCCCTGCATACGACATGAGTGAGTTGCTATGCACCCACATACTGAGGCAATAGCAAAGTCACACCTTAGTGGATCCAAAATAGAAATCTGATTTCAACCAGGGAGTAGTACAATACCGTATTGTACTACTCCCTGATGTCAACTTACTACTCCCTGGCCGTTTTGACGTCATCACTTTCAAGCCCTATACTACCACGTGCATGTCACTTACGTTCGCATGGTCAGTCTGGCTGTCACTTGTTAGCAATCCTGGCTGTTTTGGACAAGAATCGAAACTGTAAACGCGCGAATCGTTGTCCTCCTCTGCAGTAGCACGCACACCAAAAAATTCCCCTGCACTCTGCAGCTTGTGCAACAAGTCTAAAACCTGTCCTCAACTTCCAAGTCAGCACAACTGCCTCCAGTCCAGGCGCGCACAACTGCCACAAGCAATGCAAACTGGACTACAAAAAAAATTATAATCCGGTCACTGAGAGTGAGACCGTAAAACCGCTATGCTACAGAACTGCAGTACAAACCCTGTAGCCATGGTAGCCTCGGCAGTTCACAAAGCCTACAGTCATATGCCATGGCCATATGGCTGGCTAGCTGTTGAATAATGCTCTTGTCAAGGTCTCATGCGCATGTATAATGTCACAACTGCAATGACTTCTGCCAGCCGAAACCAAGTCCAACTGAGGAACGCCTGGGCTTTGGCTAAGTCCTTTGCTTGGGGCGGACGCGACACACAGCATTTCAGGTTCCTCTTTACTGAGTCTTTAGTTTCGTTAGTTTCAGTGTAGTTATGAATCTTGTTAGCTAGCTCTGCTCTGTGCGACGTAAACCAACCTCCTGTGTAGAACCCAGACCATCTACAGCTTCTAATGTCTGGTCATGATTATGTAGCCACACAGCCTGATAAGGTCACATCCACACAGTTGAGTTGGGCTGAGCACCGGCACCGTAGACTGAATGCAAATATTCTGCTAGGTTTGCCACATTTTAGCGTCCTCTGTGCGAATTTTCAGAGTGGAAGTTCTACCCTTTCCTCGCCCAGCGCCAACTGACGAATGCTCCTGTGAAG